CTGCACTCCAGTCTGGGCGACAGAGTGAGACTCCAACTCGGAAAAAAAAAAAAGAGTAGCTGGGAGGGACGGTTTATAGCTGGGTGGGACTCAGATCTGCGGGGCTGTGCACCCAGGTCCTCCTGCCACCCCAGCTCCTTCAAGTGACAACAAAAAATAACTAAAATGTGACATATTTTTATCAGGCGCCAACTCTGTGCCAATATTGTTCTGGGTGTCGGAGGAGATATAGGAGCAGACACAGGCAATAACTCCTTGCCTTCATGGGACTTACACATTTGAGCCTCGCGTCCAGTGTGGGTAGCAACAGAGGATGGCGGGGGATCTGGAGAAGCATAAATGGAATGGAATGTTCCTTCAGTTCGTGGTAAACTGCTTAAACTTTTACTATGAAATTCCACTTGAATTTGGCCAAGACAGAGAGGTCAAGACAGTGGCAAGTGTCATGGGTTCAGGGGCAGGGGCAATCACTCTGGGCTGAGATGGTCAGGAAGGGTGTCCTAACGAGAAGCAATTTAGCTGAATTGTAGGGGCAGGAAACCTTCCATGAAATAACAGGGATCCCTAGTACAATAATCCCAAAATAATCATCCTTTTTTTTTGAGTTGGAGTCTCACTCTGTCGCCCAGACTGGAGTGCAGCGGTCACACCCAGCCACTGCAGCCTCGACCTGCTGGGCTCCGGCGATCCTTCCGCCTCAGCCTTCTGAGTAGCCAGAATTACAGGCATGCGCTACCACACCTGGCTGATTTTTTGATTTATTGTAGAAGTGAGGTCTCGCCAAGTTGCCCAGGCGGGTCTCAAACCTGCGGGCTCAGGCAATCCACTCACCTCAGCCTCCCAAAGCACGGGATTACAGGCTAAGCCACTGAGCCCAGCTAAAAATAATCATCCTTAATGAAAGCTTCCAGAGGGCTTAAAGGCCCCGTGGAGTGGGAAGAGTGGCTAACCCAGAGCCTGGGTCCTGGCCACCCCTATTCACAGCTGGCTGTCTTTGGCAGGTCACCTCACCACTCTCAGCTTTGGGTTTCTTGTCTGAAAAATGGCCAAATACTCTGGTTTTGCAGGGCCACTGTGTGAAATGTAAATGAGACTGATGTGGGAGCTCTGTAATGGGACAGAAATTAAAGATAAACACATACATGGCTGGGCTCGGTGGCTCAGCCTGTAATCCCAGCACTTTGGGAGGCTGAGGCAAGTGGATTGCCTGAGTCCGCAGATACAGGACCAGCCCAGGCAACCTGTCGAGACCACATCTCTACAATAAACCCAAAAACTAGCCAGGCGTGGTAACGCACGCCACATGTAGTTCTGGCTATTTGGAAGGTTGAGGCGGAAGGATCGCCGGAGCCCAGTGGGTCGATGCTGGGGCGGCAGTGAGTGTGCCACTGCACTCCAGCCTGGGCGATGGAGTGAGACTCCAACAAAAAAAAAAAACACAAAAAAAACACGCATACAATAATTGACACATTTATATAGTATTTATTATATAAGGCACTATTCTAAAAGCTTCTTTTAGAGGAAGGTAATATTATAAGCCACATTTTACAGATGAGAAAACTGGACAGCCTAAGTGACTTGCATCCAAGACCACACAGATGATAAGTAGAGCCAGGATTCAAACCCAGGCAGTCATATTTTGCATTCCATTTCTTAGCTACTATGCAATACTGCCACAGTAGTATATAACTAAGTACTCATTAATATCTAAAAGATAAGCGGTTGAGGTTAGAAAAAACTTGACTTTAGGGGTAGTTTTGTTTTGTTTTTTTTAGAGGCAGGGTCTGGCTGTTGCCCAGGCTGGAGTGCAGTGGCATGATCAGAGTTCACTGTAACCTCGAATTCCTGGGCTCAAGGGATCCTCTTGTCTTGGCTTCCTGAATAGTTAGGACTCCACACTATGTCACCTTACCCAGCTAATTTTTAAATTTTTTTGTAGAGACAGAGTCTCGATATACTGCCCAGGTTGGTCTTGAACTCCTGGATGCAAGCCATTCTTCCACCTTGGCCTCCTGAAGTGCTGGGATTACAGGCATGAGCCAACACACCTGGCCTAGGGGCAGTTTTAAGGCAAGAATGAAGGCTTATCTTTTTTGTGTACTGATGGAAGCCTAGAGGTTGCAGCTGGGGCAGTCAGCCCCAGGGATTGCTCCCTCCCCAGTTGGGGTCAAAATGTCCAGTCCCCAAATGCTTCTCTCTGAGTGACATACAAATGAATGGTCTTTCAGATCTTGGAGCCAGAAGCACCCAAAAGAGATGAACTGGACCACCAACGTACTTGGGGAAGCTGAGGTCTGAAAGAGAGGAAAGCACTGGCCCAGGTCACCCAGCTGATTAGTGGCAGATCTGAGCAGGGGACCTGCTCTTGCCCCCACAGGGTCATGAGGGCTCCAAAATCCTTTAAATGAAATGACCACGTGGTCTAATCAGAGTCTGACAGAGAATGCTCCATCTAGCTCTGGGCTTTCCAGGGCTCTACTGACTTGGAAAACAACATTCTAACCCAGGACATGCCACCTCCACTTTGCTGCCTTTGATGACTTTCATTCTGCTTGATTTAAATAGGCACTGCTGAGAATTCTGCCTCTCCAAAACAATGTCTAAGATGATAACACATACACACAAAGGCTCCTAAGTCTTGAACAAATCAGAGCTGAATGAATGTACTGGGCTAGAGAGCTGGGCAGCAACTATGGAGTGACCCTGAGCATGGCCTGACTTCTTGGAATATTCACATGTGTGTCTGTAAAGGTGGCAACAATAACATCTGCCCTGCAGGGCAATCAGGGAACACATAATCGGACTATGCACAGCAGAGTGCCAGCCATGTGACAGATACATAGTTAATGCCCTATCACCTCCATTCAGAGGGCTACTCTTAATCCTGGCCTGGGGGAATAGACCATCTGCTAAGCATGCATACTTCCATCTGGGGCATGTCACTTACCCTCTGTACACCTCAATTTCCTTGTTAGTAAAATAGGTTGCTGAGAAGATTAATTAACATCAAGAGTCTAGATTCCTAAAAGAAGCATTTGAGGGGGTTTTAAGGGGTGGGTGATATTTGAATCGGAGAGAGAGGAATTAGTAAGCAAGGGTAAGAGCAAGAGCTAAGGCAAGAAGATGAAATAAATCTGAGAGAAAAATGTGAAGACTATGGCCTGTGGAGGCCACCAAAGAGAGAGACGGAGAAAGACTGGTTTCCTGGAGAAGACTGGCCCCCAAGAGGTGTACAACATGGCCTCCACCCATATCCTCCTCACGCTGACAAGACTCTCACATCTGCCACAGATGTGTTATCAGCTTTGAGACATCCCTAGTAGCTACTATTCTAGTCTGTCACTCATTCCTTGCCCCGGGTGCTGGGGGCACACAGACTCAACACTGGCCAAAAGCATGGGACTCCGGTTCTACCACTTCCTCCCTGTATAATCTGGAGAGGTTACACAACCTCTTTCTAAGTCTCAGTTTCCTCAATTTTAAAATTGAGATATTAATAGTTCCATCACATACTGTTGTTTTAAGGATTTAAATAAATTAATCTATATGACACATTTATAAGTGCCTTAAAAAGGGTATTATTATTTTCAATCATGTTAGCTATTATTATAGGCATTATTTTCAATTATTAATCTAATGATTATGACATCCTACATGCTTGCAAAAATTTCAGCTTTTTTCCTTTGGGATTATTTCCTTCTAATGCATTCTTTAAAGTAGAATTACCAAATCAAACTACCAATGACAACATTGACTGATTTGTTCACTTAACAAATATTTCAGTCGGGCTTGGTGGCTCAGCCTGTAATCCCAGCACTTTGGGAGGCTGAGGCGAGTGGACTGCCTGAGCCCGTGAGTTTGAGACCAGCCCGGGGCAACTTGGTGAGACCTCAACTCTACAATAAAATAAAAAATAGCCGGGTGTGGTTGCACGCGTCTGTAATTCCAGCTACTCGGAAGGCTGAGGCGGAAGGATCCCTGGAGCTCAGAAGGTCGATGCTGGGGTAGCCATGAGTGTGTGTCCACTGCACCCCAGCCTGGGCAAAGGACTGAATCTCCAACTAAAAAAAAAAAAATGTGCTGACCTGAATCCAGTGCCTATGCTAGACTGACACTGGGAATAGAAGCGAGTCAGACATGGCCCTTGCCTTGCTTTCACTGGTCAAGCTGCTGCTATAAGCAGCCATGTCTTGGGGTACCTGACTCTTCCACTAGTTTATGTTATTTATGTAAATCTAGTAGGGTAGTTTTAAAATCGGCCAAACCCTTTCCCCAAATTACAGCTAATGCAGCACCACAGCTAACAGATCTGAGTGGGGCTGCTCTGACTGAAATGGAGGACAGGGACCCTGGCCTCCACCTGCTGCTCCTAGAGGTAGCACAGAAACCTAGGCTTAAGCCCTACAAACACAATCCTGGGCAGTCTCTCCAAGGGAATGCCTTTAGAAAGATAGAGACCTGTGTGAGTCTTAGGTCTTTGGCTCTCACTGCAACCTCTCTGATTAGACTCTATCTCCTAAAGCAGAGTTTTCTTTTTTAAATATTATTTATTTATTGAGTCAAGGTCTTACTCTCGCCCAGACTGGTGTGCAGTGGCATGATCACAGCTCACCGCAGCCTCAACCTTCTGGGTTCAGATGCTCCTTCTGCCTCAGCCTAGCCTCCCCAAAGTGTTGTGACTCTATAAAAATATATATATATTTTGTAGAAACATCTCACTGTGATGCCCAGGCTGGTCTCTAACTCCTAGGCTCAAGCAATCCTCCCACCTCAGTCTCCCAAAGTGTTGTGATTATAGGCATGAGCCACTGCACCCAGTCTCTAAACTAGTCTGATCATAAGACTCTCCTGGGGTGCTTGGAAACACAAAGATTCCCCAGGTCTCGCCTTAGTCCTTAGTCCTAATAAATCATACTTTTTTTTTTGAGTTGGAGTTTCACTCTGTCGCCCAGACTGGAGTGCAGTGGCCACTCCTGGCCACCGCAGCCTCGCCTGCTGGGCTCCGACGATCCTTCCGCCTCAGCCTTCCAAGTAGCTGGAACTATAGGCACGCGCTACCATGCCCAGCTAATTTTTGATTTATTGTAGAGATGAGGTCTCACCAAGTTGCCCAGACGGGTCTCGAACAAGCGGGCTCAGGCTATCCACTCACCTCAGTCTCCTAAGGCGCGGGATTACAGGCTGAGCCACAGAGCCCGGCTATAAATCATACTTTTTAGTGTACTAAAAATACTGTGGCTTAGAGTCATGAAGCATATGAACTCCTCCAATCCAACACGGAGAAGCTAATCAGGTAAACAGGTTTGTATAAAGAAATGTCTCACAGCTCAAAACTAATAGTGACAACACTAAATGCTATACACTGTTCATTCTCAGTTAATCTTTTCAATTTATAAGGTAGATATAATTATTATCTAAATTTATAGGTTTAAGTGACTTGGCCAAGGTCACAAAGCCAGACAGGAGAAGAGGCAGGATTCAAATTCACAAATGCTGGATTCCAGAGTCCCTGTCCTTACTGTTGCTTGGAGTGTCAGGGCCCGGGGCCATAGACCAGCAGTCCCTCTTTGAGTCTTCACAGCACAATGTGGGAGAAACAAACAAGTATACTCAGACAGACCTGGATTTAAATCTTGGCTCTGTGGTGGCAAGCAAATCAATTAAATTTCTAGACTCCATTCTCTCTACTGCAAAATGGAGACAACAGAGCTGCTTTCAGGAATAAATGAAAGAGTATGTTTGTCAAGCACCCGTCAGAGATACAGCACAGAGCAGGTGTGTGACAAATGTTAGTTCCCTTCTTCACTATGTCTAGTGCAGTCTGGGAAATTGGCGTCTATACCCTTCCAGCTGTTCCAGTAACCTTTCAGAAGAGGGGAGAAAGCTGTAGGCACAAAGAAGTCAACTACAGACTTGTCTAGCAAAAAGGAGAATCAATACAAATTGGTAGATAATACCTATTTAATAGGTTCATTAAAAAGTAGAAACAAGCGGGGTACAGTGGCTCATGCCTGTAATCCTAGCACTTTGGGAGGCAGAGGTGAGAGGATTGCCTGAGTCCATGGGTTTGAGACCAACCCGGGCAACTTGGTGGAGACCTCCTCTCTACAATAAATAAAATTAGCCAGGCGCGGTGGCTTGTGCTTATAGGTCCAGCTACTTGGAAGGCTGAGGCAGAAGGATCATCGGAGCCCAGCAGGCTGAGGCTACAGTGGCCATAAGGGCCTGGGGGACACAGTGAGACTCCTACTAAAAAAAAAAAAAAAAAAAAGTAGAAACAACATGAATGAGTTGTGCTGGCCAGGCTTGGTGGCTCAATCTATAACCCCAGCACTTTGGGAGGTAGAGGTGAGTGGATTGCCTGAGCCCATGGTTCGAGACCAGCCTAGGCAACTTGATGAGACCGCGTCTCTACAATAAAATAAAAAATTAGCCGGGTGGGGTAGCACGTGCCTGTAGTTCCGGCTACTTGGAAGGCTGAGGCGGAAGGATCGCCAGAGCCCAGCAGGTCGACGCTGGGGTGGCAGTAAGTGTGCTACTACATTCCTGTCTGGGCAATAGAATGAGATTCCAATTCAAAACAAACAAACAAACAAACTGATCATAACCAGTTACAGATTTTCTGCTTCCCTTTTCACTCCCTCTGCTTCACTTAAGTAGCCTTTAAAAAAGAAACAACATCCAACAAAACTGGAGGTGCTTTGGAGAAAAAAAGATTAAAATTAGATCGAGAACATGAAAGGGCTTAGTAAACAGCAAGTGTTATGCTATTTGGGCTGTTTCTGGAGCTGCTTGGGTACAGGCCATGGCAGGATGAAGGGTGTACCTTCTGTGTTCACCACGATAATTCCCTGCACTCCTTTCTGGCTCTGCAGTCGCTTCAGTGTCTCCTCCACCTCTGCCTGCCAGAAAACAAGACCAAGGTTAGGATGGGCTAGTAGGCTGGATTAACTTTCTCATATCCTAGCCAGATGAAGTACACATTTGTCTTCCAAGAGCAAATAAGTAAGACTCAGGCACGTGGCTCCTCCTCAAAGTTCCCTGGGCTGGTTTGGAGTGTCCCTAGGTCATGCCAGCACCTACTCATACCCCTAGTATGGGTCAGGGCTGCTCTTGCCTTCTGCTCAACAGGTACTATTATCCCCCCCTCAACTATTTGGGAACAGAATATAAATTCCATTCCTGGGACTATAAACACCCCTATGACTCACGTATTTGGTATATCTGGGGGACAGGACTTCTACGATTTGGATAAAACTCAGAGTAGTATCTAACAGGAAGAAGACACTTTGTCATTCGTGGCCCAAACAGCACAGCTGAAAACATTCCAAGCCGGGCTCGGTGGCTCAGCTTGTAATCCCGTGCTTTGGGAGGCTGAGGTGAGTGGAATGCCTGGGTCCGTGGGTTCGAGACCCGCCCGGGCAACTTGGTGAGACCTCATCTCTACAATAAATCTAAAATTATCCAGGCGTGGTAGTGTGCGCCTGTAGTTCCAGCTACTTGGAAGGCTGAGGCGGAAGGATCACTGGAGCCAGCCGGTCGAGGCTGCGGTGGCTGGGAGCGGGCAGCTGCACTCCAGTCTGGGCGAGAGTGAGACTCCAACTCAAAAAAAGAAAAGAAAAGAAAAAAAAACATTCCAAAAGAAGCAAAGGGATCGTCAGGAGGATAGATTAAGTGACTTAGTAAGCCACGTGCCTGAGTGAGATAGTATGACACATGGCACACAGCCCCAAGAAGTATGCCTTGGGATGGGGCTCATTAATCCTGATTATCCAGAAACTACTCAGGGTGGGGTACTCTGGTACATGGAATTTGTAAACAGAGGGGACAGTAGATGTTTGGGCCCTCAACCTGCCATTCAAGGCCTTCTACGTTATCACTCCCACCTACTTTACCTTTCCTTCACTCTCCATCTATATGCTCACAGCCCTGTCTTCAAATCTTATTAACCTGCAAGGTCTCTGCTGAAATCCAACAAATTCTTCTGGACCATTTAAGACAACACCCCCTGGACTGAAGCCTTTTAGTGATCCCTCAACTCAGTGGAGTTTGCCTCCCTTGGACTCCCAAGGCTTTTGCTGTGATTCTCTGGGACATGTATTAGGTACTATGCCTCCTGACTTAGGGCTCTACCATGGTCTACAGAATAGAAGCATGATAAACAGCTGCTTAACTGAGCTAGGCCTCACTCTTCCTGTGGACTGGGACTGGCCTTGCAGTGTGCCTGGTCTCAGGAGGCCCCTTCCAGAGTGGCCTAGAATCTGGTCAGCTGATCCTCAAAGGTTGAGTGTTGTTAGAAACAGAGGTTCCATTCACCAAAAGAACAAAAAAGGGTTCCCTACTCCCAGGAATTAATGAGATGGGGGAGGAGGGAGAATCCTAAACACTGGGTGGAGACAGCACAATTGAATTACTGTTTCTCTGGAAGGCGCAAGGCTGATGATTCAGTCACTGCCACCCACTCTCCTGTGATGTAGAATACTCTCAAGTGCTGCAGGGAAGGACAAACAGGTTCTTCCTATAAAATGGCAAATAGACCGATGCCTCTAAAATCTGGAGCCGGGTAAAATCACAGTACTCTGTAGATGAGAGACAACACCATGGGTCATGTACATATGCATGTATGAGACCTTAAGTCGTTCAACAGACCTTTGCCGCACTCCTGCTGTGTGCCAGGGGTGCCAGAGGCTGTCCTGGAGGGGAAGGGGGAAGTATAATAGGGGTCAATACTGTACAGTGTTTAGTCTGACCCGGTAACCAGGAAAAGAACACATCAAGATGTCTACTGCAGGGCCATCTGCAATAGTAAAAAGTAGAAAGAACTAAAAATGCTCAACAATTAGGGAAAAGGCCAACTCAATGCAATGTCCACTCACAGAAATATAACACACATATTTACAATGGCGATTAGACTATGTTGTACCACCACAAAATGTTTGTGCTATCATGTTAAGTGAAAACAGGAAAATGCAAAAATAGAGTGCTTTGGTGACTGCCAACCACGTGAAAACAACTGGGCTGGAGATTATGGAAAAAATTAAAAACCACATTAAAGACAGGGAAGTATAGGGATTTTATTTTCTTTTCCAAAATAGCCCTTTTTATTCTACTGTATCATACGATTTGAGTTGGGGTCTCACTCTGTCACCCAGGCTGGAGTGCAGTGGCACAATCATGGTTCACTGCAGCATTGACCTCCCTGGGTCAGGTGATCCTTCTGCCTTGGCCTCCTCAGTAGCTGGGACTACAGGCATGTGTGACAATCTCTGGCTAATTTTTAAATTTTTTGTATAGACAAGGTCTTGCTACGTTGTCCTAGTTGGTCTTGAACTCCTATGCTCAAGCAATCCTCTTGTCTTGGCCTCTCAAAGTGCTGGGATTACCGGCATGAGCCACCACATCCAGCCGTTGTCTCCACTTAACATTTTGTCTGGGCAAGCCAAAAGCAAAGATGTCAGAGTACAGGTCTAAAATGTTCCCCAAATAATAGACAGTAAAGCTGAAATGAGACTGCTATTCTTTCAATAACTACACGGGCACCTTCTATGTGCCAGACATTGTTTTAGACCCAGGGATGCTGTAGTGAACAAAATGTAACAAAAACCCCACGTCACGAAGCTGACATTTGAGGGCCAGACAGCAAACAGCAAAAAAGAAGTAAAACACAGATGTCAGCTTCCCTGGGGATGACGGAAATAAGTGTGCTGGGGATGATATGGAGAGAGTGTTCTGGGCAGCACAAAGGCTAAGCACAAAAGCCCTGAGGCGGGAATGCATTTGTGGTGTTCAAGGAAAAGCAAAGGGGCCAATGGCTGCCAATCGTGAGCAAGGGGAAGCGTGGATGCCAGCAGCAAGGACAAGATGACAGTGGAGAAACGCACTCCAGGCAGTAGGGTAACAGAGACAGTGCTGCTGGGTTCTCTAGTTCCCAGGGGTGTGTTCCCAACAGATGGAAACCCAAGCAGCAGTAAAACTTTGGGACTATGTCGGCTCTGCACAGGAGGAATAACCATCTGGAACAAATGATTCAAGAGGGAACTGTGACTATGTGACCGCTGAGCATAAAACTTATCTTCTGTCAAATAAGAATGATCAAATAGGATAAATATTTACATAAAATACAACAGACAAGGGAGTAATTCCCAAAACATCACTTAAAATGGCTAAGAAAAACAGCAAGTTTCTAACGGTAGTGGGCAAAAAGGATACTAGTAGAAAAATACACCTGGGAGAAATTACAGACACATCAAAAATATGTCTAAAATAAACATTCCCTGTAAATAAAAGCATGAAAAGCTATAGCAATGCTGAGGTTTCATTTTAAATGCTGGTGTTGTTAAGCCAAAGCTGGTACAGGGCAACACAACCTTTTGGACAAGCCAAAGGACAATATATTGCAAGGACCATAAATGTACTGGTCCCTTTACCTCAGAAATTCTTTTTCTGAGAATGTGTCCTCAGAAAACAATCTAATAAATTGAAAAACAAAACAAACCACACACACACAGAAGCATCCTAACAGCATTATCTCTACTAAGAACCAGAAACAAATCAAGTGTACACAAGTGGAATGGTTTGGCAAATCATGATACAGCTATTTCACTCACTATCATGCAGTCACTAAACAGTTCATCATAAGATGATGTAGCAACAAACTTAAATGTTTTTGAACATTAAAACAAACCAAAAAGAGGCCAGGTGTGGTGGCTCACACCTATAATCCCAGTACTTTGGGAAGCGGAGGAGAGAGGATTGCCTGAGGTCAGGAGTTCGAGACCAGCCCAGACAAGTTGGGAGACCTCATCTCTACAATAAACCAAAAAATTAGCTGTATGTGGTGGTACGCACCTGTACTTCCCACTACTTGGAAGGCTGAGGCAGAAGAATCACCTGAGTCCAGCAGGTCTAGAGTGTGGTGGCCATGAGCATGCCACTGCATTCCAGTCTGGGTAATAGAGACTCCAACTTAAAAAAAAAACCCAAAACCAAAAACAAAAACAAAAAACTCCAGCATGTATATCTTGAAAAACACACATAAGCCAGGCTCGGTGGCTCTGCCTGTAATCCTGCGCTCTGGGAGACTGAGGTGAGTGGACTGCCTGAGCCCGCGGGTTCAAGACCCACCCGGGCAACTTGGTGAGACCTCATCTCTACAATAAATCAAAAACTTAACCGGGCGTGGTAGCGCACGCCTGTAGTTCCAGCTACTTGGAAGGCCGAGGCAGAAGGATCACCGGAGCCCAGCAGGTCGAGGCTGCGGTGGCCGGGAGTGGCCACTGCACTCCCGTCTGGGCGACAGAGTGAGACTCCAACTCAAAAAAAAAAGAAAAGAAAAGAAAAACACACATATATGTGAACAAAGAATATACAAAGATGAAAATAGTGTGGTAGAGTAAAAGTGGATGAGGAGAATTATGGATTTTTTTTTTAGTCAGGGCCTCACTCTGTCACCCAGACTGGAGTGCAGTGGCACAATCACAGCTCACTGCAGCCCTGAACTCCTGGGCTCAGGTCATCCTTTCAACTCAGTCTCCTGAGTACCTGAGAATACAGATATGAGCCACCACATCCAGCTAATTTTTTTTACTTTTTTTAGAGATAAGGTCTTGCTATGTGGCCTAGGTTGGTCTTGAACTCTTGGGCTCAAGCAACCCTCTTGCCTTAGCCTCCCAAAATGCTGGGAGTGCAGGCGTGACCCACCATGTCACATGGATGATTTTTACGTCATTGTTCTAAATGTCAGTTTCCGCCAAAATGTAAAATATGCATGCCAGAAGCACCATTTCTAGGAATCTATCCTATATAACCACTAGCATGAGTACAAAGAAAGACAAGAACAGTTACTATGGCACCATCTGGAGTAAAAAAAAAACTGTAGACCACCTAAATGTACATATGGGACTAGGATACTACACAGTCCTTAAAAAAATCAAATAAGCCGGGCTCGGCGGCTCAGCCTGTAATCCCGCACCTTTGGGAGGCTGAGGTGAGTGGACTGCCTGAGCCCACGGGTTCGACACCCGCCTGGGCAGCGAGACCTCATCTCTACAATAAATCCAAAAATCAGCCGGGCGTGGTAGTGCACGCCTGTAATTCTGGCTACTCGGAAGGTTGAGGCGGAAGGATCGCCGGAGCCCAGCAGGTCGAGGCTGCGGTGGCCGGGAGCGGCCACTGCACTCCAGTCTGGGCGACAGAGTGAGACTCCAACTCAAAAAAACAAAACAAAACAAAAACAAAAAAACCCAAAAATCATCTAAAAATCGATTACTCTTAAATGTAAGACTCGAAACTATAAAATTACCAGCCTAAAGCATAGTAGAAATGCTTCAGGACACTGGTCTTGGCAAAAGTTTTGTGGCTAACATCTCAAAAGCACAGCTGGGCACAGTGGCTCAGGTCTATAATCCCAGCAATTAGGGAGGCCAAGATGGGAGGATTCCTTGAGCCCAGGAGTTTGAGACCAGCCTGGCAAACATAGTGAAACTTCACCTCTACAAAAATTATAAAAAGACTGACTCAAAAACAAAACAAAACAAACCCCCCAAATATAGGCAAATGGGATTCTATTAAACTAAAAAGCTTCTGTACAACAGAGGAAACAATCAAAAAGTGAAGAAGACAACCTGTAATGAGAGAAAATATTTACAAACTATTCATCTGACAAGGGACTAATATTCAGAATATACAGGAACTCAAACAGCAAAAACAAACAATCTCATTAAAATGTGGGCAAAGGATCTGAATAGACATTTCTCAAAAGAAGACATACAAATGGCCAACAGGTACATGAAAAAAATGCTCACTGGGCGTGGTAGCTCACGCCTGTAATGCCAGCATTTTGGGAGGCAGAGGCGAGAGGACTGCCCGAGCTCACAGGTTTGAGACCAGCCTGGGCAACTTGGTGAGACTTCGACTCCACAATAAATAAAAAAACTAGCTGGGTGTGGTGGCACACGCCTGTAGTTCCAGTTACCTGGAAGGCTGAGGCAGAAGGATTGCCTGAGCCCAGCAGCTCGAGGCTGAGGTGGCTGTAAGTGTGCCACTGCACTCCAGTGTGGGTAACAGAGTGAGACTCTGACTCAAAACAAAAAACAAACAACTTAACATCAGTAGTCTGGGAGATGCAAATTAAAGCCACAATGAGCTATAACTTCATCCGAGTTACAATAGCTACTATAAAAAAGACAAAAAAACAACAAATGTGTAGAAGAGGGAACTCTTATTCACTGTTGGTAGGAATGCAAATTAGTACAGCCATTACAGAAAACAGTATGGAAGTTTGTTGAAAAACTAAAAATATCCAGGTGCAGTGGCAGTGCCTGTAGTCTCAGTTACTTGGCAGGCTGAGGCAGGAGAATTGCTTGAGCCCAGAAATTCATGTCCAGATAGGACAATATAGTGAGACCCTGGCTCTTAAAAACAAAAAACAGGCCAGGCTTGGTGACTCACACTATAATCCCAGCACTTTGGGAGACAGAGGGTAGTGGATTGCATGAGGCCACGAGTTCGAGACCAACCCGGGTAACTTGGCAAGACCTTGTCTCTAAAATAAATTTTAAAAATTAGCTGGGGTGGCCGTGAGTGTGCCACTGTACTCCAGTCTGGGCGATGGAGTGAGACTCCAACTCAGAAACAAAACAATCATATAACCCAGCAATTCCACTACTGAATTTTTAACCAAAGGAAAGGAAATCAGTAAACCAAAGGGATCCCTGCACCCGTTTATTGCACTATTCACAACTGCCAAGACATGGAATTAACCTACATATGTCCATCAATGGAGATACACAATCCTGTCATTTGCAGCAACATGGACAAAACTGGAGGTCATTATACTAAGTGAAATAAGCCAGGCACAGAAAGACAAATATGGCATGTTTTCACTCATATGCAGAAGCTAAAAAAGTTCATTTATTGGAAGTAGAGAATAGAATTAGGGTTCCCAGAAGGCCAGGAAAGGGAGGGTGAAGAGAGGTTGGTTAATGGGTACAGAAATACAGTGAAAGAAAAAGGAATACATTCTGGTATATGATAGAACAGTGGGGTGACTAGAATTAACAATAACTTATTGTATATTTCAAAACAGCTTGCCAGGTGTGGTAGCGCATGCCTGTAATCCCAGCTACTTTGGAGGCTGAGCCAGAGGATGGCTTGAGCCCGGAGCTCAAGGTTACAGGGCAACATAGCAAAATCTCATCTAAAATTGCTGGAAAAGAAGACCTGTCAAATTATGGGAGCGCAAGAAAAAAAGCAACAACAAAAAAAGGAAGCTTTGAAATGTTTTCAACACAACGAAATAGGAGTCCGCGGTGATGGATGTCCCTAAATACCCTGATTTTATCATTACATATCATATGCATGATGAAGCTAACACACGAACCCGGTAGATAGCAACCATTACGTATCAAGTAAAATTTTTTTTTTTTTGAGTCGGAGTCTCACTCTGTCACCCAGAATGAAGTGCTGTGGCACACTCATTGCCACTGCAGGCTCGACCTGCTGGGCTCAGGTGATGCTTCCGCCTCAGCCTTCCAAGTAGCTGGAACTACAGGCGTGCGCTACCATGACCGGCTAATTTTTTTTATTTATTGTAGAGACGAGGTCTGGCAAAGTTGCCCAGGCTGGTCTTGAACCCGTGGGCTCAGGCAATCCTCTTGCGTCCACCTTCCAAAGGCTAGGATAACAGGGGCTTGCCACCATGCCCAGCTAATTTTTTATTGTAGAGACAAGGTCTCGCCAAGTTGCCCAGACGGGTCTTGAACCCCTGGGCTCCGGCAATCCTCTTGCCTCCACCTCCCAAAGTGCTGCAATTACAGGCGTGAGCCACCACGCCTGGCTAAAAGTTAACTTTTTACAGTTTAAAAAGTGATGCTAAAGATGAAGTTGTACGTATGAGGCAAGAGTACAAGCTTGCAGCGATACATCCTGGCACGTAAAGCGGCAGAGCCCACAAGACTCATGCCATGGGGGGGGGTGAGCCAGACACCGCAGACCGGAAACGGAGGACCAGAGGGGCGCGCCACATTCTTGTAAGCGTTAGATTTCTAAGTACGATCTTCGAAAAGGCCGTACGTGCACGTAACTTAACATTTAAAAGATCTGTTAGCCTGTTACGCGAGCCGTGAAGTGGAAAACGCAAAACCTGTGCAGGCAGGGCGGGCGCCCACGCCCAGCCAGTGCGGCCCGGTGAGCGCCTGACTCCCGCAGGTCGGTCCGCACCCACCGAGGCGGTACTCGGGCTTCCAGGGCTCGAATCCACCTCACCATTTCCTGGGGCAAGGCACTTAGTCCGTCGGGGTCACAATGACAAGGAGGAGGAAGGACAAGATCCAGAAAGCACCTAGCAGAGTCTGCTACGGACTGGGCTTCCAGGAAACGCTGTCGAGGTCCAAGTAAGGCACCAAGGCCACGGATGCCAGGCTGTAGGGCCGTGCCGTGCCCCTCGGCCTCCTACTCGCCGAGGCCCAGCTCCCGCTTCCGGCCAAGGCAGCGGGATCCGGTGGCCCGGCCTCCTGCGGGTTCCGGGGCCCGCGTCGCCGGGTTCCGCCCTCCGGTCGGCTCGGGCCTGGTCCTGGCCACACCCAGCCCCACGGGTTCCCAGGCCAGAGCTCGGAGAATCCCCCATTCCCAGGGGATGGACGGCTGGAGCGAGGTGGAGAAGGCCGCTAGCCACTAGCCCCGGGAACAACTCACCATGTCGCCGGGATCAGGTCGCTCCGCGTTGCCGACGCCCAGCCCAGTCCCGAGCCTTTCTGCGCCTGCGTGGTTTTCTGTCAAACGGACAGCTGCGGTAGCCTGTCAGGAGCCGGCGTGAGGGGAACGGGGCGGGGCAGCAGAACTCCGCTCCGGGACTCGTGGGACGTTTGCTCTCTGCGGTCGGAACGCGAAAAACAAAGCAGAGCTCTAACTCCAGTTGTACCGAGACGCCAATTATCTTAGTCGAGATCTGAGCGGGCTCTGGAGACCCCGGGTAGGGATGATAGGAGATGTGAGGGCGAGATTAAGAGAGGCCCAGAACCAAAATGCGCTGAAGACACAGGAAGGTCCGAGGTTGGGGCAGGATCAGGGACCCCTGGAGTCTCCGGTGCAATCCCGGGGGAAGAGTCAGGCGCGCTTCGAGATGGGTGGTGCGCGGCAGGCCCAGGAGCCGACGCTGTAGGAGTCCAAGCTCAGCCTCAACCCTGCTTTATCTTGGAGAAGCCACGTCACAACTTTGTATCTTACTTTGTCACCTTTAAAAGGGAGGAAGTTTCTTCCTAGAGCCCTGTGCTGTCTGGTTTCCCGCTCTTTAACCTTATTCCCACAGGCAGCAAAAATATCTGGGACCTCTAGCGGGAAATAACTCAGCCTGTAATCCCGCGCCTTTGGGAGGCTGAGGTGAGCGGATTGCCCGAGCTCGCGGGTTCGAGACCGGCCTGGGCAACTTGGCGAGACCTCATCTCTACAATAAATCAAAAATCAGCCGGGCGCCTGTACATAAATCAAAAATACAGCGCGCGCCTGTAGTTCCGGCTACTGGGAAGGCTGAGGCGGAAGGATCGCCGGAGCCCAGCAGGTCGAGGCTGCGGTGGCCGGGAGTGGCCACTGCCCTCACTCTGGGCGACAGAGTGAGACTCCAACTCAAAAAAAAAAAAAAAATGCTCCCCTCATGCTGCCATTTAGTGAATACTGTGCCACGTGACTCTGCTGACCACGTACCTGCACTGCCTCCAGTAGCCTCAACGTGGTGGGTATGGGTATCCCCGATACTTTACAAGTGCTGTTTCTTCGAGGCACTGGAGCGTGCTGAATTCAACGGCGATGGTCTAAATTTTTATTCGACGGCAGCCTCTCTTTAGTGGGGAAGAATTCATGTTCTTTCCAGGGGTGTCTTCACAGCGAAGTTAAGAGGATCGGGGTAGTGACTTTACAGCGAAAAAACTTAGCAGTCACCACTTTAACCAGATCAAGGTTAACTGGTAACAGGACACTGATTTTATGTGCCCCTTGATATGATGCGCTAAGGACCCATCACCTCTGTGGGGTATTTTTCATAAAAAACCCCAGCCTTAACCCAATTTGAGTGATACTCTGCAAGCACTTGACCAGTACTCCAAAAACCTCAAGGTCATTAAAGACAAGGAATAAATGAGGAACTGCCACAGATTGGAGATTAAAGAGAAAGAAAAGCGATATTAGTGGATAAACTGGTGAAATCTGAATAAGGGCTGTAGTTTGTTATTTTACCAATGTTATTTTACCAATTTATTAGTTTTGATGAACGTACCACAATTATGTGGTATGTTAACATTAGGGAAAGCTGGATGAAAAGTACAAGTACTCTATCATTTTTGCAACAGCTCCATAATGTAAACATATTTCAAAGTAATCTTTCAAAAAAAAAAAAAGGATTGGATACAAAGGAATGGTTATCAAATGCTGGAAACATCAGAAAAGCATTTAGCAAGGGGAAGAAATGCTGCAGTGACTGGACCCCAAAATATCCTAGAATATAAGCACAGGAGGCATCATTACCACCATCCTGTACATGGAGAACTAGATTGAGAAGAGTGAAAGAATTTAAAAAGAGCAAAACCAGGCTGGGTGCAGTGGCTCATGCCTGTAATCCCAGCACTTTGGGAGGCCGGGGCCATCGGGTCCCTTGAGCCCAGGAGTTACAGCGAGCTGCCATATCTACAAAAACCAAAACAAAACACCAAAACCCGGAAGCAAAAAGAATGGCTAATGGGGTTCATGTGACTGGGGCCAAAATGAGTGAAGGAGCCAGAATAGGGCCACGAATGTCCTTGAGTGGCAGGCTTACAAGTTTTGGAGTTTACTCTGTGGTAATGAAGGAACCACTCTAAGATTTTACGCAGGGGAGGCATGAAACCGGTCTTCCACAGATCATTCTGAGACAGGATAGATGAACTGGAGGGAGGAATGGAAGCACTGACGGAAGACAGGAGGCTGCTATGGTCAACTAGGTTAGGAATGAAGGGTGTGGGATGTGGCACGGAGTCAGCTCTGAGGAAAGGCATTAAGAAAAGATTTAGTGACATATTTGATAGGATTTGAAAGTCTATTAGATGGAATGGCTAAACTGGTTACTGAAGACTCACAGCGTTGTAGCTTTTGAGTAGCAGTACAGCAAATGGTGCAAGCATTGTAGTCAGAGTCCTAGATTCCAATTTGTATTCTTCCTATTGGCTGTGGATGTTATTCAATCACTTTGAGCCTCTATTTTCTTATCTGTAAAATGGAGATAATCATTCCCAAGTGGCCAGGAAGAATAAATGACAGTGCATATAGCATATCTATCAGTGCCTGGCACACAGTGATAAATGTTGACAATTGTTTTGGTACTAAGTGAATATGGGTGTGGTACTGGCTGCTGTGATAGGTAAGATGAATAGAAAAACAGGTATGAATTAGAAGTGAGAAAAAACACTATGGCTGCAAATTCTCAAGGTCCTTCCCTTTAAGGAAATTCTTGCCTATAGCCGCTCTTTGCTGAACCTGTTTATAAGGGACTGACATTGTCCTTCTGGGGTCTATGCTGAAGGCCCTTTCCTTGCCAACCAGGAAGATTCCCATGGCTTTTCCCCTAAATGTCCTCACAAAGGAGTCCTCAAACAGATGGGAATTGACAACTTTAATGGACTGGGAGCAACAGCAGTTCTTCAGAAGTCCAGAGAACAACAGTCAATCAGCCACAGCTGAGTTCCACTTTGGTGCTTTGTAGGGTTTGGATGAGAGAGCCCATGGTCAGGAAGAACATTTATTCCCCATGGAAGGTTTCCTCATGCTAAGGGAGGAATATCTTCCGCCTTGGCCACCCTAAGTTTTCTATCTGCCTCTATGGGGCAGATTAAATAGGATAGGGTCTACCACTTGGGACTTGGGAGGGACCTACAGTTTCTGTCCTCTAGTCACTGTTAGATTAACATGTTAAAAAATTCCACTTCCCTTAGCATCTCTCTGTTGGCTCCATTTTATTATTTTTACTTATTTATCTTTGAGTCAGGGTCTCCCTCTATCTCCCAGGCTGGAGTGCAGTGGCACGAACATGGCAATCACAGGTCCATGGCAGCTTTAACCTCCTGGGCTCAGGCAATCCTTTCACCTCAGCATCCCAAGTAGCTGGGACCAAAGGTGCATGCCATGCTTGGCTAACTTATTTTTTTTAGAGACGAGGTTGTGCTATGTTGTCCAGGCTGGTCTCAGCAATCTACCCATCTTAGCCTCCCAAAGTGCTGGGATTACAGGCGTGAGTCACCACACCTAGCTCACTGGTTCCATTTTATTTTTTTATTTTTCCACTCCCTCCCTCCCCTTCCCAACCCAATGGCTCCATTTTAAATGAGAACATAATTATCTGGGTTTTCAAATAATAAAAAGGTCTTCTGAAGTTGGTTAGCAGGCCAGCTTGTCGAGAACAGTTGTGGTAGCTACCTAGCTGACGGTTCTCTACTTAGCACTCACGGCTGGGATCCTTTCAGTTATCTCAGGAAAACAGTTCAGATGGAGGCCTTCATGTTTGTCAAGAGTCCCTGCATTAGCCGGGCGTGATAGCGTGCGCCTGTAGTTCCAGCTACTTGGAAGGCTGAGGCAGAAGGACTGCCAGAGTCCATCCAGCAGGTCGAGGCTGCCGGGAGAGTGCCACTGCACTCCAGTCTGGGCGACAGTGAGACTCCGTCTCAAAAAAAAAAAAAAAAAAAGCCGGGCTCGGTGGCTCAGCCTGGCTCAGCCTATAATCCTGCACCTTGGGAGGCTGAGGTGAGATGGATTGCCTGAACCCGGGGGCTCGAGACCTGCCTGGGCAACTTGGCGAGACCTCATCTCTACAATAAATCAAAAAATTAGCTGGGCGTGGTAGCGCACGCCTGTAGTTCCAGCTACTTGGAAGGCTGAGGCGGAAGGATCGCCAGAGCCCAGCAGGTCGAGGTTGCAGTGGCCGGGAGCAGCCACTGCACTCCAGTCTGGGCGACAGAATGAGACGCCACTCAAAAAAAAAAAAAGGCGGGGGGAGCCTGCAGATGTCTTCATCTTCAGCATGGGCACCAAATCCAATCTCACCTGAGTAGATCCTTCTAGTTTTTTTCTACTCACACCCCAGTGCATACTAGCTGTAACTTGCCATTTACAAAAGCAAAGAGGCAGTCACATCGAAGCTTCTTGGCCTTGAAGGGGGGTGAGGGGAAGACCACCTTATTCAAGACTAACAGTAACTTGTACAAATGAAGGACCAAAAAGTTTTAATTATGAACACAATCTTACATCTTTTAAGGAAATGCAAGTGAGACAACCTCTGAAGGAACTTTTTAAAAGCACTTGACTCTGCTATTTGTACAGTTACCTGAGTATAAGAATTATGGTCCAAGGAAACAAAAGTATTCCAATATAGTAATATACAATCCAGTGCTGCCATTCCCTGTTTTTAGTTAGTGAAACCATATATACAATTTTGTAAATAATCCTAACAGAAAAACAAAAAAAGAAGGGGGCTGGAGATACCAACAATACTAATATTAAATATAAATAGTTAACTCTAAAGGAGTTTTTAGAAGGATGGAGTTAATCCAAAAGAAAGGGGGATATAAAAATAGAGAAAAGGTTTAATTCCATGAGTTACCTCTGATAATGTTTCAGATTAACCAGGTAAGTAAAAAGGGACAGAGGGGCTTGACCTAGTTCATTTAGGATGAGACCTTTGTGGGTAGCTGAGTCATTATACTGGTATGTCAATCTCTTGATGAAAAATCAGTACCTAAATCTTTTTCTTTTTTTTTGTTAAGTAAGGGTCTCACTGTGTTGCCCGAGCTGGACTTGAACTTCTGGACTCAAGCAATCCTCATATCACAACCTCCCAAGTACAGTACCTGAATTTTAAATAGAGTTATTGTAAGGCTTATGAAAAGAGATTCTTCTGCACTCTGACATAAGATAAAAGAGCAGAAATTCATTATTATGAACTGCTTGATCAATTTTAAAACATTTTTATTTGATGAAATAAGTGAGGTCCTTCCCTTCTGACCAGGCTGTAGACTGCTGCCATTCTCAACCCCTCCCTCCCAAAAGAGTAGAAGAATAGGCAATTGCTCATTTTACTTCGTTTTTATTTCAACATAACATGCAGTAAAAAAACAAACAAAAAAAGAACCAGGATTTATTAGCATTTACAATGCTCACAAAGAAAAAGGATTCTAAAAAGCAATTTAGTTCAGATTTTAAAAATTCAAATTAAATACTTACAATAAGTCTATTTCCAAATGTTCAGTCTGGACCAAAATTTAAGATAGCATTTGGTAGATATTTATGTCTGCTGTCTAGTTGCAGTATTTTAACATAACCTCTGATTCTTGGGATATCCAGCCCCCATTTTCCTAACACAGCAGGGAAGACATATACATGTGGCCACTTAAATTAAAGGAAGAATGGAATAGGGAGATCCCTGGCTGCAAAAATATATACAAGCATTTACCTTTTCCAGAACTAAACGTTTCTTCCATAAAAATATTAAACAGCCAAGCCCTATAGAACTAGGGCCAGGGCTACTTCAAATATAACTATTCTGTATTTTAAAAATATAGGGCAGAAAGCCTTTTGGGTGATATTTATACATTTTCACACAAGATTTCTAGGTCCCTAAATCAATCAGGAAGCATTATGTAGAACCAAAAAAGTCTATTTTCTTACATTATCTCTTAATTTAATCTCATAAATCTCTAGTAAATGTTGTCGGTAACTGCATTTCAGTATGAGAATTCACCTTAGCAGGAAGTCTTTATAGAAGGCTTAATCTTCGCCATGTATTACCAGAGTTCAGACTTACATAACGAATGGGTAGTTGGCAGACATTCGCTCTGTAAGACAAAGCAATATCGTCTTTTTCCCCTACCAATAAAAAGGCAGAGTCCCTATTTTGGAAACAACTAGGGCTACTGGAGACCACAATACATTTCCTGGGGTATATTAAAAAACAAAAAAACAAAAACAAAGATAGGGCTGGGGAGAGCCTAGTCTCTTTACACTGACAATTTCTTGATGAGGAAACCCTTTCACTCACATAAGCCTCTGCTTTATGACGGCAGTGTCTTAGAGTACAGATACACAGGTTAAAAAATGTTTTATTGTTCCAAGACACAGACAGGAAGAGCAGTTAGAGAATAAAACAAAACAAAACACCATTTCCCTCCTATATGGAACAAGAGCCTGTTACTCTGTTTATTCTTGTCTTAATGCTACTTGCTCATGCTGTACTACTGAAACATGGCAAAGTCCCTGTTACGAGTTAGGAGGCTGTCCTCAGGGTTCAGTTATCATAGGGACTCAGCTGGCTTAGGCTTTACCCACTGCCCATAAAGTCAAATCTATGACAGTAAGCATCTTGACAGTCTAAGCTAGGTCAAGTTAAAAGAACTACAGAGAAGTTCAAAGTGCATTAATTGGTTACTGACAGAACAGTCTAAAATTAAATAGTCATGACAAAAAAGGAAAACCTGCTAAAATTTTTTAGGGGTGAGAAGAACATTGCAGATGAGGGATATAAATCCAACTGAGAATAATGTAAAGGCCAGAAATGACTATTCCACTATACATCAGAGAAATGAGAAATTTGAAGACTTTTAATTCACACAGAGAATACATTTCTGTGGTTTCTAGGTTTTATCTTCCCTTTTTAGTCAGTACTACAGGTCTCCCTCCCAAATGAAAATGTAATTTCAGAAGCTGTTTCACTGACCTATTTGAACTAGAAAGCACACTGGTTACAACCTGAACTCCTCAGCAGTAATTAAATGCAACTGAAGTTGCTGGATTATGATAAAATCACAAAGCTTCAAATAATGTATAGGAGCATTTTTTAAAAAACAGTGGAGGAACCACAGTGTTAATAATGTTTGTAAAGTTTAGTATTTGCCAGGCAATTAAAACAATCAAACTTCAAAATGAAGAGAGGTATGAAGTCATGTACAGGCTGGGATCAACTATTCCCTGAATTCCAATTGACAAAACTACTCTGTAGGGAAGTGCAAGAGTCTTGTATTACTTCCAGGAGTGATGCATCGATTCATGCTCCAGAAAGGAAAAACAACAGTCAAGCCAGGCTGAAATGTGAGGGAGAGCACAAGCTGGAAGTTTGCACACAATCCCAGAAACTGGACTAAGCTTGCACTTTTAACAAATACCTCTTACTAAGAGGCTTAATAGGAAGATCTTGTATATTGCAGTTACCAAGAGACATCCCTGCATATCTGCAGAATCGCTTAAAGAAAAAAATCCTACTCCCAAGTGAGACTTTTGACACATATACAAAATTGTTGTTAAGGAAACAATCTAGTGGAATAAGACAAGGCAGATTTCATTGCTGTGTTAAATCTCATGTTAAATAAAGTTTTGACTATTCATTTGCAGGTCTGATTTCTTGAAACATTAAGTAGAAATCCAGAATCACTGGGAGATAAATCTCAATGATTACTTATACTCAAAAAACTCTCCAAACAGTCACAGTTCAATTTTACAACATGTGCAGCAGACAGAGAAGGAAAAGGACGAATACTGAAAATAAGTTCTTGTCCTTTTGTGATGCAAGTTCTCAGAAGTTACTCCTGTCCAAACCCTTCTGTTTCTTCAATGGCAAACAACAGCTTTTCCTTCAGTTGCTCGTAGCTCTTGTATGGTGGCAGGTCCAGGCGGTTAAAACTAAAAGTGAGAATTGTTAATTTGAGAAACAGAGATATAAAAAGAATCAAATGGGCAGTGTACTACAGCAACACTGTTTTGCTTCTTGAGTTGGACTCTCATTCTGTCAACCACGCTGGAGTGCAGTGGCATGCTCACGGCCACCATAGCCTTGACCTGCTAGGTTGAGGGGATCCTTCCACTTAGCCTTCCAAGTAGCTGGAACTACAGGCGTGCACCACCACTCCTGGCTAATTACTTGATTTATTGTAGAGATGAGGTCTTGCCATGTTGCCCAGGCTGGTCTTGAACCCGTGGACTCAGGCAATCCTCTTGCCTCCGCCTCCCACTGTGCCTGGCACAATACTGGCTTTAAAGTCAGGCAAAACTAGGTCCAGATATTGGCTCTAGGTGGTTGAGTGTTTTTACCTTTTCAAGTTTCAGTTTTTTCTGTGGCAAAATGTGAATACCCTTCTCTCAGGGTAAAGAAGAAACAAGCACACAGCACAGTGCCTAGGACTTAGAAGGTACTCAGTAAAATGACACTCCTCCCATGCTCCCCATCCACCCTAATCTAGATCAGTGGACAGCAAACTTTTCTGTACAGGGCCAGATAGTAAATATTTTAGATGTGGCAGGCCAAAAGGTTTCATATCAAAAGTTTTATTTTTATTTATTTATTTACTTAGAGTTGGAGTCTCACTCTGTCGCCCAGGCTGGAGTGTAGTGGCTCGCTGCTCAGGGCCACCATAGCCTCAACTTGCTGGACTCAGATCCTTCTGCCTCAGCCTTCCAAGTAGCTGGACCTACAGGCACGCACTACCAGACATGACTAATTTTTCTTGATTTTTTTGTAGAGATAAGGTCTCACCAAGTTGCCCATGCTGGTCTCGAATTCCTGGGCTCAGCCAATCATCTCACCTTAGCCTCCTAAAGTGCTAGGATTATAGGCATGAGCCACCACACCCGGCCCATATCAAAAGTTTTAAGCCGGGCTCGGTGGCT